CCCCCTGGCCCCCCTCTGGTTACGCCCCTCCATATGGAGCTGTTTCTTCATTATTTATTTTACGATATAATGTTTCGAGTGATTCATCATAAATAAACATGAGATGTAATTCTTTCTTTATTAATTCTTTAATTTCATTCGGTACATCATCAGTGAACTCTCTATGTTGTAAATAATGCGGAATTAGTAACGGTCAATCTATATGTTGATTGTCTTCAAGCGCTGATAGTTGCAATGAGTATAATCGTGACAATGTATCAGCAACAACATTTTCTTTTCTGGGGTTATATTCTATCTTAAAATTGAATTGCTGAAGGTATTCAACCTAACGAACCATTCGACGTGACAGATGCTTTTGTTTTGATATATGTTGTAATGATTTATGATCTGTACGTATAATGAATGTCATACCTTCAAGATAACACTTCCAAGTACGCAAACAAATAATAATAGCCAATAATTCTTGCTCGTGTACTGGATAACGAGATTCGGCATCATTTAATTTACGTGATTCATAAGTTATTGGTCGTTCACCATCACCATCATCCTGTATTAATACATCCCCAACAGCAATAATAGAAGCATCAGCAACTACGATGAATGTTAAATTAAAATCAGGTAGACGTAGGACCGGTGCTGTTAATAATGTTTCTTTTAATGTGATAAATGCTGCATGTTCTTTATTCGTCCATCAAAATTTGTAATTGTCTTTGGTTAAGTATGTTAGTGGTTCTGTGATATCACTAAAGTTTGGAATGAACCAACGATAAAAACCTGCCGCACCAAGGAAAGATCGTACATTCGTTGCATTACTTGGTATTGGCCAATTCTTTACAACAATAACTTTATTTTCATCGACTTTGATACCATTCGATGTGACAACATGACCAAGAAAATTTAGCTGATCGACACCAAATTCACATTTTTCTTTATTAACATATAATTGATTATCACGTAACAATTGTAAAATTAATTTAATATGATTCAGATGTTCACGTTCATTTTTACTGTAAATTAAAATATCATCAAGATAAATTATCACAAAGTCATCAATGTATAGATGAAGTATCCCATGTGTTTCATTGCGATGAAACTGCGGCGCAGTTACGCCGTAACTGCGATCGCACTGTGACCCGTAATTGCGGAAAATTGCGACGTAGTTACGCGCAACTACGATGAAAAAATCGCAGTTACGCGTAGTTACGG